TCTCCCCATCCCTCCGAGCGACAGTCTGGCCCCAAATCAAGCCCCCCCCGAGCCCATTGAGTTCTGTATCTCGCCGTCGGCCTCATCCACTCGCCGTCAGCCCCTAAAACCTAGCCCATTAAGTTCGTCGATCTCGCCGTCAGCCCCAAATCAGTTCAGTCGTCGGATCTGGCCCCAAATCAAGCACCGCCGACGCCGACTACGCACAGCTCCCCCCAAATCCGTTGGATCTGGCCCCAAATCAAGCACCGCCGACGCCGACTACGCACAGCTCCCCCCAAATCCGTTGGATCTGGCCCCAAATCAAGCACCGCCGACGCCGACCACGCACAGATCCCCCAACTCAGGTAACGATCAAGCCCCAAATTTCTTTTACCTATTATCTGTTATTTTTCTGTAGTTTATCTGTTATTTTTGTTTTTGCTGAACTGAGCTGAGCTGAGCTTGTCAAAAAAAATCCTCTTGGCTGAACTGAGCTTGTCAAATTTTTTTTTGTTTTTGCTGGAATAATTGATGCTTAGAAAGTAGGAAACCAAATCTAAAATATGAATACAATTGCAATTTCCTCTTGGCTGAACTGAGTTTTTCAAAAAAAAATTCTTTGTGTAGTTTATCTGTTATTTTTCATTAGTATTATCTGTTATTTTTGTTTTTGCCGAACTGAGTTGAGCTGAGCTTGTCAAAAAAATCCTCTTGGCTGAACTGAGCTTGTCAAATTAGTTTACAAAATTTGATATACAGTGTATTTTTTATAGGTCAATTAAAAATTTTTATGAGAAATGAAAAACTTGGACACTGAAGCAAGTGAATTAAACTTGGATGACGATATTTCGACATATACTCCTCAAGTATCAGATGAGTTGAGGCCAAAAAAAGAGCAAGAATTTAACACAATAGATGATGTTGTAATATTCTACAATGCTTATGCTAAAGCAGTTGGGTTTAGTGTAAGGGCTTGGACTACTCAAAAAGAGCCGGGAAGTGGTGAAATAAGAAGGAAGGAGTATTGGGTTTAGTGTAAGGGCTTGGACTACTCAAAAAGAGCCGGGAAGTGGTGAAATAAGAAGGAAGGAGTATGTTTGTTTTAAACAAGGAAAATCTCCAAGAATCGCGGATGTTGGAAATAAAAGACGTCGAGGAAGCGTAGCTGAAGATTGTCATGCCAAAATTACAGTTTTAAAATCAACCTCTGGAAAATACATTGTTACTATTTTTAAAGAAGAGCATAGTCATCCGCTATCAACACCATCAAAGGTTCATCTTTTAAGGTCTCACCGACACGTTTCAGCCACAACAAAGTCTTTAACTAAACAGTTATCAATGGTGAATATACCTCAGCATCAACAATTCAGTTTTCTTGGAGTACAATCTGGAGGTATAGAAAATATTGGGTGCACTCAAAGAGATTTGTATAATCATGAAAGGGATACACAGGCTGATTCGAAGGGGCATGATGGTCAAATGTTTTATGAGTATTTAAAACTGGAACAAGGAAAGAATCTCGGATTTAATTTTCAAATTGAGGCCGATGAGGAACAAAAGATTACTCGTTGTTTTTGGTCCGATGCAAGTTCAAGACGGACGTACAATTTCTTCGGTGATGTTGTAATCTTTGATACTACGTATAATACTAATCGCTATGGCCTGATATTTGCACCAATAATGGGGGTTAACAATCATGGTCAAACAGTTGTTTTTGCTTGTGGATTTTTGAATCATGAGAGCGTTGATGATTTTGTATGGTTATTTAATAAATTTTTGGAAAGTATGCCTCGTGGTGCCCCGAAGATGATTATTACTGATCAAGACCCAGCTATGACAAAGGCATTCCCTCATGTTCTTCCAAATACTTTTCATAGGTATTATAGTTTGTATAGATTATTAAAAATATTTATATACATAGCCTTTCTTTTTAACATTTTATTTAATTCTTTTGACAGGTATTGTAGTTGGCATATATTAATGAAGTTTTCTGAGAAAATTGATGCTGTGAAGTATAGTATTTATAAAAGTGAGTTCTCGGCTTGCATTTGGAAATCAGAGACTCCTGAAGAATTTGATTTACAATGGGAAAGTCTGATTAAGAAAAGTGGGTTAGAAGGAAACAGGTGGTTGCAACCAATATGAACTTCGGACAAGATGGATTCCTGCATATGTTAATCATATTTTCTCAGCAGACATGTCAAGTAGCCAACGAGCAGAAAGTGGTCATGCATTTTTCAAGAAATTTGTTTCGAAGAATAATTCATTGGTGGATTTTATGATACAGTTTGGCAGAGGACTAGTGCGCCAACGTTACGAGGAGTTGATGGCCGATCACAAAGACGTGGTTGAGAAACCTAAACTTAGAATAAATCATGACTTTTTGGAGCAAATGGTTGATATTTACACTAATGAGATGTATTACAAGTTTGAGGCTGAAGTGTGTGACAGCTTTAACTACAAGTTGCAGTTTGTTAGGGAAACCGACAATCGCCGTGTGTATCAAATTAAAGAAAGAAGGTTGCAACAAGCAAAGTCCGCGAAATCGTTTACGACAAGCAGTTGGATTTGGTTTCTTGTAGTTGTAAAAAGTTTGAAAGCGTCGGAATCGTATGTACTCACATTATCTCTTATTTGATGAAATTTGATGTTGAAATATTGCCCGATAAATACATCTTATTGAGGTGGATTAAGTCTGCAAAATCGGGGACAGTTCATGATAATAAAGGCATGCAGATAACCCCTGATAATCCTTATCTTTTAACGCGGAGTTAATTTATCCAATCATCTTTGGATTGAGTTGACAAGTCCCTCGTATGTGAAGAAACAAGGGAGATGTTTACCGATGGATTGCGTAACATTAATGAGCAAATTGATCAATTTCTTAGTAGCCACATGGCTGTAATGAGCTTCACTGAGAAAAGTAATCCAATATGTAGTAAGATAATTACTGAGGGGGCTAGTGCTCATGGTTCTTGTAGTTATGAAAATAGTTTCAATGAACCCGATCAAGTGCGAGCAAAAGGGTGCGACAAAAGGTTGAAAGGAGGAAAAGAGAAAGCAATGACTAGAGCCAAAAATAAAAAAGATAGACGTTGTCACGGGTGTGGTAAAGTAGGCCAATCACATGATAAGCGAAATTGTCCGGCACTCACAAATCCGTAAGTAATAATTTTTTTATTATTTATGTTGTCTTATTTTTCACATTCTAGTATCCTTCTTGATGTATATATGTATGGATATTTTAATATAATGTAGGTTTTCTACATGCGGTGATACAAATTTGCAAGAGGGTAATGAGTCATCAAGTGAAGATGTCGATCTTTTTGAAGATTAAGAGGGTAATGGTCCTGTATATGCTTTTGATTTGTGATGTACAAAGTCTTTTACCTCTTTTTTCCCTCGCTTGATTTCATGCAGGGATTTGCTAACTTACTTTAATAATACTAATTTTTTAAATAATTACCTAACTTACTTCAAAAGCTTATATGTTTCTCAAACTGATTTCTGTTGTTTGAATCAGGATGTGGAAATTACTGAAGGATGGCTTTACTAAGGCTAACAAGATGAGCTATTTGTGCGTGCTCCATGCTCTTAAAAAGCTCGGTGATGTAGATGGTCTAAAGAATTGCTTTCAAGAGTGGGAATCAACTTACGTTTCTTTTGATGTTCCTTGATTATTACTTGAAGAGACATGAGATAGATTTTGCTTTGAAGTACTTGAATATTATTTAGATTGACAGGGTTATATTTTGATGTCGCAACTTAGAATGACTGATGTGTATCATTTTCTGAGAGCTGCTTCTTTTCCCTGTAATGATATTATGTAGTGTCTTATTGACTCCATCCTTGTTTCTCTGAACTATCGTAAATTGGTTCACTTCTGGACCAGTTCTTACTAAACAAGATGAGTTGTAAACATGCAAGTTTATGGTGTTGCTGAATTTTCTGTTGGGACTTGAGTTGTAAACATGCAAATGAATTATTTGACATGAAGGCAATGCTCCAAGGTGCGTGTATAAATGTCAGCATGTTTATGCTAGAACTTCACGTTGTGTCTGTAGATTTTATGAAACAGACCTTCTATCAGGAGCTTATGAATCAGGAGCTTGAATGAGGAGTGTGTTAAACAGGAGCTTGAATCAGGAGTTGGAAGCATTATTTTTTAGTTTTCTTTTCCCTTTTTTCTTGAATTACAGAAAATGAACGAAAGGATTCACACTCATTAGTGACTGCATATTTTACTTGGGATGTTTATTAACTGGAACTATAATGTAAGGTGATGAGATATCTTATTTAAGCTGCATTTTGTTAATTCATACCAATTTCTTGAAAATTCTGCTGTGGTGACGACCAGAAATTTTGTACATTTTAAAGATGTTTAGCCCATCATTTTCTAGGTTGATGGTATTGACTTCCTGTCTCCATTTTGTATTCAGTTTGATCTGTTGTTGCTAAAATGGTTATTGATTGTTAACGTGCAGAAGAAGAAGAAGAAGAACAAACAGAAGCAGCAGCCAAGCAAGAAGAATCGAGTGAAGCAGTTAGCAAGCAAATTAAAACTCAATTGTATCTGCAAAACTTAATTAGACACAAGGTTGCATGATAAGAGTGTAAGATACAGCTTACGTGCTAAGATGAGTCTGCAAAACTTAATTAGACACAAGGTTGCATGATAAGAGTGTAAGATACAGCTTACGTGCTAAGATGAGGTGCTCTGTGTATCAAATTAAAACACAAGAAAGGTACTCATTCCCCTAAGATGAGGTGCTCCCTTCTCTCACATTATATCTCATCGTGAAAAAGCTTGTTTCATTCCAACACATCACATTTATTTCAACATAAAAAGCAAAAATTAACAAACTTGTTTCATTCCAACACATCAAAGCGTGAAGCATTACAAAATACTGATTCCAACACATCACATAATTTCTTTCATGGCCAAATAAAAAGACAACAAAAAAGCTATAACAGTTAACCATTTCCACAACACTTTTTCACGTACAACAACCACATCACGCGCCTCTGGTGGGGCAATGACGAGTGGTATTTGTTCAACTGATGAAATCTTGCACCAGCCCAAAATTCTGATCTGATCCTTGAGCACTTGAGAGAAAGTCGAAGGTAGCGCTTGTGCTCGAGGGGAGAGGAGATGGATCCCTGAGGAGAGAGGAGATCCAAGATGAAGCTCGAGCTTCAGGCGAGAGGAGATCAAAGGTGGGGCTCGAGCTTGAGGAGAGAGATCAGAGATGAGCTCGAGGGTAGAGATCGGAGATGAGCTCGAGGGCAGAGATCGGAGGCGATGAGTTTTTTTCCGCAGACGAAGGGACCAAGGGCTTCTTCGTTTATGAGGGACGAAGCGTGTGCTGGAAAGAGACATAGGAGAAATTTATAATTCGAGTAAAATTAAACTAACTGCAAAATGAACTTTCCACTTGAATTCTAGAAAATTTTTTTTCCCTTGCATCAATTAAACTAACTGCCATTTCAATCTTCCACAGTTTTCTTTTCCCTTGCATCAATTATTCCAAGCGTGGTTATTGGGTCGGTGCTATACGAGTATACGGGTTGTTATATGGGTTATACGGGTTGTTAAATGGGTCAGGCGGGTCAACTTAATTTATCCATCTAATAAACGGGTCAGTTCGGGTTGACCCGTTTATGACCCGACCCATATAACTCGACCCGTACCCAGCATCAATTAAACTAACTGCCATTTCAATCTTCCACAGTTTTCTTTTCCCTTGCATCAATTATTCCAGCAAAAACAAAAATAACAGATAAAATACAGAAAAATAACAATTTTTGACAAGCTCAGTTCAGCCAAGAAGAAATTGCAACTTAGTCTAGCTTGAAACCCTAAGGACAACAAATAAACTACAGAAAAACCCATATAACTCGACCCGTACCCAATATAAACGGGTCGAGTCGGGTCGGGTTGATGGGTCGGGTCATAAATTGCCACCCCTATGTTCAAGTAGGAAGCAAAAAATACAAGTCAATTAATTCTTTAGCTAATGATAATTCAGCCGAGATTTGCTCCGACTAACCCCACCGCATGCAATAAGTTGTAAAGCATAGAATTGTTTGGTTCCTGACTTGCTCTTTCTTATTGAGATGAAAAAAAAACTACAAAAGAATTAGAATCGATTAAAAGAGCTTCTGGTTATGATAATGTGTTTGCTGTCAGTTGTGAAGGAAGGATTAGCATTATTTTTTAATAGCAGTAGCATCATTAACCTCTTAAGCTATTCAAAGAATCATATCAATGTGAAGGTGGCTCGTGGTGAAGGAATGAAGGAATGGAGATTTACAGGTTTTTACGGAGAACCAGAAGCAAGTTGGTTTTTTACAACCTAGACGGAAATTCCGTCTAGGTTGATTCAATCTAGACGGAATTCCGTCTAGATTGCCTTTTTTCAGGGAAAAAATTAATTAAAATTTGTATTTCCCTGTACAATTACATTAATATTTGAATACATCCAGAAAATACTGTACACGCCACATTTAATCATCCAATCATAATCAAAATTCATAACAATTCCATTCAAAAACATCTATATAACCAAATCCAACACATTGTACAAATCCAACCATCCACTTCAAAATATACATCAATCAGTTCCGTCTAAAACACATCCAACAACATATATACTAACAATGCCAGTGACTAAGATATGATACACGACATGAATAAATGTAGTGTTATAACAAATAAAACTGTTTATTGCATTAAAAATAAAAAAACCTCATCCATCGTCGTCGGCGAGGGTATCTCTATCCCGATTACGAGAAAGGGTGCTGCTCCCTCCAATATCTCCACTCTGAATGTTTAATTGAATAATCATTATGTGGTGTTTGATAACATATTAGATAAAAATGAATTTATAAATATAAGAAAAAATAAGGTACCTGAGCACTACTCTGTCTAGCGCCGGAATTATCGCCAATCGTGCTAATGATACGTATGACACCACCATACGCGCTATAAGGAATAGCACCGCCTAAATATTGTATAACATACCCCATGAGATCGTCCATCGAGTTCGCCGTCAGCGCAACTCTAGTCATCTCATTAGTCACCTGAATATGCAGCTCCGGGTCAATTTTGTCAATCAAGAAGGCAGAGATACGTGCGACAAATGGCATAGCCTGGAAACTGCTTGTGGCTGCTCTCGTCGATGTAGATGGTGTGGAGGATGCTGTGGACGATCTGATGCTTATACCAGGTGAAGCTCCGACACCATGTAGAGGATATCTTCCTCTCCTATTATTAGGGAGAAATAAATATTAAACTTTGCTCTCAAATTCAATAATGGTAAACAAATATAAATAGTATGTAGTATTCAAATTGATTCGATTTTTCACCATCCTTACCTATTATGACCCATCAGGTTCTGTGTGAGATTGATGTTCTCCTCTGCAGAAAGCATGTGAGGGTCTGGCTCGGTTTGTTCCTCCTCCTGCGAAATGTAGACAGATGCAGCCTCCTTGGATGCGGTCTCAAATCCCTCCTAAAGCACAAATTTATAGTTAATTCAAGATAATGACCATATTATTTGTGTTCTCGTTTCCTCGTAATGTTAACAAAATAGAATTAATAATACTACTCAAGATATGTATAAATCTCACCACTTCGTAATGTTCAAAATAGAATTAATAATACTACTCAAGATATGTATAAGTCTCACCACTAACTCGAGATTTACCGTGATCTTATCCCGATATCTCTTATCACTTCTATATTGTTCACTACGCCGCTTTCGCCCTCAAGTGTATTGGCATTAATGATTTTCCCTGTCATATTATATATTATCACACTCATAATCATACTAATCATTAAATTCATCAAAACTTTAGACGGAAATCTACCGTATCCTGACAATAAACATCCTCCAGATTGGCATAGGAGTGTGAGCCCAAGTGGTGGTCATGCAGCTTCTTTCTTCTATTTTCTGACCCCTTCGTGGATTTATTCTTTTTTAAAAGAAAAAAATTAGCAAATATGCAATAAATTAATATCTTAAAAGTATAAAGTAATTTTCATGAAACTAACCTTGGAGGCATCGCTGTCCCAATACATGAGGAGAGCTGTGAAATGAACCTCGTCAACTCGGGCGTCGAGGTTTAAAAACCTCTGCCAGTCCTCCTCATACCTGTCATAGGTTTCATGTTTGATCTCATGCCTCCATTGTTTGAGAACTGCTTCAACCTTGACATTGAACACATAATTCCAAGCCCCCTCAAAGTCCTCAAGGCAGAAGCAGTCCTGTAGATTTACATACACATTTAGGAAAGATAATTTAATATCAAATACTAATTATTAATAAATAAAAAGTAATAGCAATATGTAGTTACCATAAGCTCTGTCCATATCGCCTCGTATGCGGTCCACGGTAATTCTCAAAAATGAAAATAAGGGTTGATAATGGTCGCTCTACGCACGAGAACCCCAATATATGCATTCAATCGGGTCGACCAAGGACCAACGGGCAAATTAGAACTATTCCACCTAATAATGGCCCTCATTCCTCTTGGCGATTGTTTAGAATCAGGCTTACCTCCGCCACGTCGTCCCTCTATGCGATCCTTCTTAGCACCTACAATAATGACAACATGATAATATATCATATAATATACAAATATGAAAATTAAAAGTATTTATATAATTTACCATTCGCTATCTCTCTTTATTTTGCTGCGAGTGCAACAGCTTTCCTAGTCTCCAACATAGGAAGCATTTCCTGATACCTTCTCGCAGCACGTGGGTGGTACTTCCTTGAATCAGCCTTGGACTTATGAGAGTCCGGAGGTAAAGGTAAACTGAGAAAGTCCTGGGTCTTTGGCCGCAAGTCAGTATGGAATGTATATGATGGATATGTCGGGGTCCAAGTAGCACCTACATAAGAAAGAAGAATCAATAATATTAAATTTTAATTGACCATTATCAATTATTAAATATTTAATACCTGTGTCGGGGGATTGTTCTGGTGCTGCATCAGAACCGTCGGGTGATGAATATCACACATCTACAACAAATGAACACTATGAGCTAGATAACTAAAAATTTATAAAATATATTAAAGTATTAATTAATTTTTATACCTACATCTGTAGAAGGTAGTGGATCATCAGCACCACTACCTAGCGTGATACTCCGTGATCTATCAGCCGGCTGGTCAAAGAGCCTCCTAATCCTCCTCATTTGCAAATATAATAAAGACAATTGTTAAGAAAAAATTGTATACATGCTCATGAGATATGTTGTTATGAAATGCATTATTGTTTTTTATTATGATAAGATAAAAATCGATAATGTGGTGTAACATATATAGTTCATACCTACATCCAGCGATACATTCTGTGCGTAAGAGAATTCTTGCCAAACATCATTAGATGAACCGATTGGTTCACTATAATTATCTTCACTTTCTTTAATATTTTTTTTCATTGTTATTAGGAAGAACAACAGATCTTGGTTCCTTGTACAAAACCACCTAATCAGACATGACATTCGGATCTTTCACATAGAAGCACTGATCAGCTTGTTCTGCGAAAATGAATTTCTCATCCGTATATACTTCTCGGTGAAGATTGACTAGTGTAAATCCATAATGATCATTTTGCTTTTTTGTAGGACACCACCGAACCTTGAACATCGTGTAAGTACATTGTTTTGGTTTACCAAACCCGTAAATTACCTCAACGATATCTTCTAATTGGCCATAATATAATATGTCAGCTAGAATTGGATTCTGATCTCTTATACTTGAAAAACATTCTTGGGCAAACAAGCCCATGACCCCACTGTTCTGAGTTACCCTCCTATCATCGGTCTCTAATGTTCGAAATTTATATCCATTCACCAAATGCTCATTATAACGTCTCACTTCGTGATAAGGACGTTGTGCATGGATAATAATTTCATCTGGTAATGTAGTATCATCAAGAAGTGATTTTTCAACCTAAGACAAACAATTTGAGAATATTTAGGCGATGTTATATTATGAATGTTCAATAATTAATTGTAAAACACTTACATCAATTCTTAACCAATCAGAAAATTCTTTCTTATGTCTTTTCTGAATATTGTGCGCTGCATTCCTACCGGTTGTTTCATTCTTAAGCTTCTCCAGATGTCGCCTATATAAACAATATATAACTTTGTATTGATAAACTATATATAAAATGAATATTTCTCATCTATATTACAGATTTTATTTGTTACATTCGATAGTCTTCGAACATATCAAGGTTTTCCAACACATATGCATGAATTTGATCTAAGAGAGATCTCGGGTATTTTTCACGCTTCCTCTCCTTTTGAGGTGCTTGAGATGTGGTTTTCTTCTTACGCATGTAACGCGATGCAAACACAAAGCATTCGTTAGCCACGTATCCTTCAGCTATCGAGCCCTCGGGACGAGCTCGATTGCGAACATTGTTTTTCATGCAGCCCAAGTATCTTATAATCATAAAAGTTAATTATTAGCACGGTAATTTTAAAAACGCGTATACAATTAATAAATATAAAAAAAATCGTAAATTACCTTTCAATCGGATACATCTAACGATAAGTAATAGGACCGGTGATTCTAGTCTCTCTTGCAAGATGCTGGGTAAGATGGACCATAATTGTAAAAAATGAAGGAGGGAATATTACTTCCATATTGCATAGAGTAACTCGGACATCGGCTTTAAGTTTCTTAAAGTCATCTACATCTATGACTTTAGAGCATAATTTTCTGAAAAATCCACAATACTCAATAATAATCTTCGACGCTTCTTTATCCATATTGTTACGGATTGCAACAGGGAGCAATTGATGGAGAAGAACGTGATAATCATGTGTCTTCAGATCTAAGAGTTTTCTCTCTTGCACCTGGACATTATTTGAAATGTTAGTAGAGTAACCATTCGGCAACTTTACCGATTTGAGAATTTCACAAACTCGTTGCATCTGCTCATTTGACGTTATAACACGAGACGGAGGCAACTTTAATTTTTTAAGGCCAACGTCTTGAGCTTGCAAATCATTTCAGATATTCAAAGCAGTCAGATCTTGGCGCGCCCGTAGATCATCCTTCGACTTGTTTGCATCTTGTAGGAGAGTTGATACTATGTTATCATATATATTTTTCTCAATATGCATAACATCTAAGTTGTGTCGGATTTTTAGATTCTGCCAGTAAGGTAGCTGAAAGAAGATACTAAATTTAGTCCATACTCTAGGTAATGTTTGGGCTTCGTCCTCAACTTGCATTTTACGGACCTTTCGCTTATGCTTCAATGGCTTTTTTAACTTTAAGTAATCTCTTACTCCGAGCGTGTTAAATTTATAATAGCGTTTTTTCCCAAACACAACTTTTGGAAACCCCTCAAGTAATTGAACGATCTCAGTACCTGTCAGTTGACGTGGCTTCATTCTTTTCTCAACTGTACCATCAAACTTAGCTGATAATTTTCTGTACTTATGACTCAAGGGCAACCACCTTCGATTAAACCAATAACAACTCTTTCGGCTATGTGGTAATTGAATAGTTTCAAATTCTGGAGCACATACAGGACAAGCACACTTGCCCTTCGTAGAGTACCCTGACAGATTAGCATAAGCTGGAAAATCATTAATCGTCCATAGTAGAATAGCACGTAATCTAAACGACTCTTTTAAATGGGCATCATATGCTAAAGAACCCTCAGACCATAATTGTTTTAGCTCATCAATTAGAGGCTCTAAGTAAAAATCAATATCATTTCCTGGAGCATGCTTACCGGGTATCAGTAATGAAAGTATCATAAACGGCTGTTTCATACAAAGCAATGGAGGTAAATTATATGGCATTAATACAACTGGCCACGTAGACCAGCCAGAGGTCATTACCCCAAATGGATTGAATCCGTCGCTTGATAGACCCAGTCTTACATTTCTGCAATCTTTGACAAAACGAGGATAAATTTTATCAACATGCTTCCAAGCTAAAGCATCAGCAGGATGTCTTAATTTACCATCGTCTACTCGATCATCCTTATGCCACCTCATATTCTTTGCCGTTTCCTTGTTCATGTATAATCTTCGCAATCTAGGAGCCAATGGAAAATGTCGAAGCACTTTGACTGGAATTTTCTTCTGTGTTATCACTGTCTCCGTTGTAATCCTTGTTGAAGAATTAATACAATCATTCGGACATACATCAATCGTATTATAATCAAGACCCAGAGCAGAGACAATCTTCTCAGCTTGATAAGTTGTTTGGGGTATGCTATTCTCTCCTCCAGGGATTACAGTCCGAAGCAAATCAAGAAGCATTTCAAAATAATTATCTGACATACCGCTAAGTGTCTTAATATGAAGGAGTTTCAGCATAAATAAAAATCTGGAGTACTCGGTACATCCCTCATATAAGTCCTTTTCACTATCTTCTAGTAGCTCCATTATTCGCTTTATTTCTGCGGAGGAATGCATATCATCAATATTTTCGACACTTTTCAGTATCTTCTAGTAGCTCTATTATTCGCTTTATTTCTGCGGAGGAATGCATATCATCAATATTTTCGACACTAGCGACACCTCCTACCTCTTCGGCATCAACTTCGTTATCATCTTCACTTTTGTCTCCAATATCATCCTCGACATTATCATCAACATCATATTCTGTAGGTCGAGGAAAAATATCATTCAACAATATTTCTGTGTCATCTATTCGTTGGCCACCGGACGTACCAACATGCATATTTGGATCCTCACCTTCAGTGATACCTTCCCCATGCCAGTTCTAGTATTTATATTTCTCATCAAAACCTGATTTTATTAGGTGAATCCGTATATCATTTCTATTCAGCAGCTTCAAATTCCTACACCTACAACAAGGACAGTACATAGCACCGCTTCTTAAATTTCTCGGATTTATTTCAGCATAACGCATGAAGGCGTCACATCCCTCCTTGTATCGCGTGTCATGAAAAGTATTTATATAATTTACCATTCGCTATCTCTCTTTCTTTTGCTGCGAGTGCAACAGCTTTCCTAGTCTCCAACATAGGAAGCATTTCCTGATACCTTCTCGCAGCACGTGGGTGGTACTTCCTTGATTCAGCCTTGGACTTATGAGAGTCCGGAGGTAAAGGTAAACTGAGAAAGTCCTGGGTCTTTGGCCGCAAGTCAGTATGGAATGTATATGATGGATATGTCGGGGTCCAAGTAGCACCTACATAAGAAAGAAGAATCATTAATATTAAATTTTAATTGAAC